ACGACGTACGACGACGACGACGAGAGACGACGACGACGTACGTAGAGTAGTAGAGTAGTAGTAGAGAGTAGTAGTAGTAGAGTAGAGTAGAGTAGAGAGTAGAGAGAGAGAGAGAGAGAGAGAGAGAGAGAGAGAGAGAGATGCGTGTGATGTCATTCAATGGAAAGGGGCTTGGGGAGAGATTGAACGTGCATAATTTCATTTGAGATTTGAGTGGTAAAGAAGGAGAAGACAGATATGGATGGATTAATTTTGTGGGAGAGAGATGTGATGGGTGTGATTTAAATATGATAGAGAGGTGAAGAGTGAAAAGACACGTATAATGTGCTTAGAGGAAGGAGTTTATGACTGGTTAAGATAGAGAGAAAGTGTTTACGAGTTATAGAGAGAGACGTGCTTGACTAGTTTATTGAGTCACTCTTTCCATCTATAGCCAAAAGCGGTCTCACGAGGCAATGAGGCTTGGCTGATGGCTTCCCTCCAATTCCCACAATACACACACACAGGTTGCCTGGGTAAATCGGCGCTAGCCTAAGCAGCGGAATCCACATTTTTCATCACTATTTGTAGTATAATTGGATATGCTTCTAGCTGGCGAGGCTTACAACATTTTTACTCCATGAACATGGGTAGGAGCTTGCAAAACCAGAAATTGTTCTTCCCTTGTGAGGCTTAAGTTAGGGTAGCTGGTTTATTATGGTGTGGGAGTGAGGTGTTCTTAACCATATCATATATCTACCTACAAATGGACTTTGCTTCTTCAGAATGCTACATGCTCACAACTGCTTGCTTCATGCACTATGGGATTGCATTTATCATTTAGAGCTGCATCCATACTAGAATTGCTTCCATCTCCTCCTGTTGTAGTGGCCTAATCTGCCAGTGGAAAATATCATGTGATAGGCAGGTGTAATTTTATGATTTCTTTCTTGAACATCATTAGATGTCATCCTGAGTTTTCTGGATCTCCTAACTTGAGTCTCGATCCTGCTCCGTAAATGTGATCCTACCCTAAGCAATAGGAGTTGGTCAACATGTCAAACACCCATATTCTTTATATTTTAAAGGAAAATAAGCAACAAATGCACATCAATTAAAAAAGAAATCAATTAATGCATATCTAAAAAACAAAAAAGCCATATTTCATAAATTTTCCAAAAGGAAGGAGTTTCTTAAGTTCACATCAATCACAAAAAGTAAATCTCTTGCTCCTAATATCACAATTAATCGTGGGTCCAACATTTGTCACCAATGGTTATGGGATTTGACCCATTATCTTTATAAAAATATGTCTACAAGAGAGATAGAATGATATCTCTCTCAATGCTCCCTCTCTCTCTGTATGTATATATATATATATATATATATATATATATATTATT